TCATGTGGAGGTGAATCATTGTCACGATAAAGAGGGTGGTGCCTCTGTGGAAGCTCTTGATGGCTTGATTATTCCGCCCAGCATCAACCATAGCATCCCCCGAGTTAGCTTCAGAATGGCCGCATTCCAACACCTATATCCATGTTGCTATCTCAGTTGAAATCTTCTCATGATTTTTTTCAATGTGAAGGAGCTTCATGTTCAACGGAAGTTCATTTCCGTTTGGTGCACCGAACGAAGTTCGGAATTGTTAGAGATCATGTAACATCAACTGAACTAAAGCGTGGGGAGGAGGATGGTGAAATTGTGGTGACGTAAGTGAAAAGCGGGGTGGAGGTATCTGATTTTGTAGTAGAGGAATTACTGAATTAGAATGTGAGGCTGATGAACTAGATGAGTCTTCTAAATTGACGGTTGAGGAACCGAACAAGTCTCAAAAGTTATCGCCAATTATATTTTAATCTGTCTCCAACATCTTGGCCATGAGAAATTTATATATTAAGTGGGATTCTTGTTACTAACTTCTTACATTTTGTCAATTCAACTCGTGCTTGGATAGTGCAACAGCCTTGATGCTAAGAATAAAGGTATCCCCATTTTTAATTACCTCACTTTTTTGTTTATTATATTATTCTGCCAAAAACTGTCAGCTTTAAAATCGTTTTTCCAACTATATATAACCGAATCTTCCTACGTAACAAAAATAAAACAATTAAAAAATATATTCTTAAACAAATTATCCAAAGTATCAATTTTTTTTATAAAAATTGAATATCCTTTAAACACAACAGTTAAGATTTATCTTTGAGTTAAAAATGATTACAATAAATAGTAGAGAATTTAATTCAACACTTTTGTTCAAAACATGGGTTCCATTAGAATCCTCAAATATCAATTATTATCGTAATATATATACTTTAAATCTTTTCTAGTTTGTATGACGTAATTTTGAACAGGTCTATCACAAAATTTTAAATGTTTAATCCATACATCTCATAACCTCTTTCCACAACTTAGCATTAAAAGTCTCCAATCTATGATAGTTCCCAGCAATTTACTGTCTCAAAATATCCAAATTTTCAGAGAAACTTTGCAAGTTGTTTGTTGTCATGTGCTCTATTCTCACCACCAGTTCGATGATTTGTTGTGATTCAAACTTGCTACTATTATATTTATTTACTTATTTATTTGCCAACTTTGTACTTGAAGAAGAAGCTGTGGTCACAAAGACTTCTCCACACCCTTCTATTCAAACACAACATTGCAATAACAATATCTTTCTAGACAAGTCAATACTCAAACCTACATAATTGACTGAATCAACAATCAACCCTACCCCACACAATCCTTCATATTCATTACTATATATATTCTCTCTTCATCAAAACTTTAATGACATATTGCCTGCATTGCATGAAACTTGAAACTTGAAACATTACCATAAAAAGCCTTTTTTTCTGTACACAAAATTTCCAACAAATGCATTTCCCTTTCACTAAACCTCAAGCACTAGCAAGAACTTGTTTCTCCTATTTATTCATCTCCTTGGTTTTCATCAATGGCTATCAAGCTGAGATTACGAGAGAAGACAACAAAGTTATACCTATCGGTGCAATAGTCGATGTTAATTCTCGAGTTGGGAAAGAACAAAGAATAGCCATGGATATTGCGGCGCAAAATTATAATAAAACTTCAACTACCTACAAGCTTGCTCTCCATTTTCAAGAACCTACTAAGAATTCCTTCAGAGCCACTGAAGCTGAAGAGATGATCAAAAAGAAGGTGGAAGTGATTGTAGGGATGCAAACATGGACAGAAGCAGCTTCGGTCGCTGAATTAGTACATGAAGCTCAAGCTGAAGTTCCTATCATATCCTTTGTAGCACCTACAGTTAGTCCACCGTTGATGTCGATCCGATGGCCGTCTTTGGTGAGACTGGCCAACAATGGAACAGCATATGTAAAATGCATAGCAGATTTGGTTCATGTTTATAATTGGCGTAGTGTAGTTGCCATCTATGAAGATGATGCATATGGTGGTGATTCCGGGATGCTAGCACTTCTATCCGAGGCCCTCCAAGAGATTGACTCAACGATTGAATATCGTTTAGCTTTGCCATCGCTTAGTTATCTGCGTGATCCAGGAACGTTTATTCACGACGAGCTGTTTAAGATAACTGAAAACACGCAGTCTCGAGTATTCATTGTATTGCAATCATCGTTAGAAATGGCAATTCATTTGTTTAAGGAAGCTTCGCAAATGGGACTAGTGAATGGAGATTCGGTTTGGATAATCTCCGAGAGCGTAACGAATTTGCTGGATTCTGTCAATAAGTCTAGTATTTCTTATATGCAGGGAGCTTTAGGAATCAAGAACTACTACTCAGAAAATAGCAATGAGTATAAACATTTCGAAGCTCAGTTTAGGCGAGCTTTCCGGGACAAGTATCCGGACGAAGATAACCGCGACCCGGGGTATTACGCTTTGCAAGCATATGATAGCATTCAAATGGTTGGACATGCAATAGACAGAATGGCCAGTGGCAATGGTAATCACAAAAGGACTTTGCTGCAAGAAATAGTCTCGACCAATTTTCTTGGTTTAAGCGGAAAAATTCAATTTGAATCACAACAGCTTTTGCAAAATCCTACTTTGAGAGTTGTAAATGTAGATGGGAAGAGTTACAGAGAATTAGACTATTGGACTCTAGAAAATGGATTCTTCACTAACATTTCCACAGAAATAGGTAAAGTCGGCAGTTTTAGAAACTTAGAAAGTTTAAGTGGTGTAGTAATTTGGCCTGGAAAGTTGCATAGAGTTCCAAAGGGATGGAACCTTCCAACTAAACAAAAACCAATGAGAATTGCAGTCCCTGGAAGAACTTCATTTTCGAAATTCGTCAAGGTTGATTATGATGACATTGATGGGCAAGGAAATCCAAAATGCAGTGGATTTTGCATTGACATTTTTGAAAAGGTTTTGGAGCTTTTGGGTTATGATCTTCCACATGAATACTATCCTATCAATGGAACCTATCCTGATCTGGTTCAACTTGTTTATAACAAGGTAAACAATCCAGTCTGAAACCATAAATTAACCTCCTTCTTTTCTCTTTCTCTTTTGCTTACTAACTATGATAATTATTTGATAATCTTGCAGACTTATGACGGTGTCGTTGGCGACATGACCATACTGGCAGACAGATTGCAATATGTAGATTTTACCGTACCGTATGCAGAATCGGGACTGTCGATGATAGTTACAGAAAACTCCCGAGAATCAACATGGATGTTTATGAAGCCCTTCACATGGCAACTGTGGGTGGCAACTGGTGCCATCTTGGTTTACACCATGTTTGTAGTGTGGTACCTGGAGAAGGATCACAATCAAGAGTTTCAAGGCACTTGGAAAAACCAAATCAGCACTTCTTTTTTGTTTACTTTCTCCTCGCTATTCTTTGCTCATAGTGAGTATCCACCCGTATTTCAACTAATGATTTGCAAATGTGTAACGAATTAAACTGATTATGCCAGTGATTTCTCATTGCAGGGGAGAAAATGCATAGCAATTTATCTCGCGTAGTGATGGTATCGTGGCTGTTTCTAGTTTTGATTCTTAATTCGAGCTACACTGCGAGTCTTTCTTCAATGCTCACAGTTCAACAACTGCAAACAAATGTCACAGACATTGAGTGGCTGAAGAAGAACGACATGAAAATTGGTTGTGATGGAGATTCGTTTGTTAGGACTTACCTAGAGCAAGTCGAAAAATTCAAGCCAGGGAACATCATACAAATCAGTAATGAAAACAATTATGACCCTGAATTCAAAAATTACTCGATTGCTGCTGCATTTCTCGAACTCCCTTATGAGAAAGTATACATGAGTAAATACTGCAAGGGGTACTCGGCTTCTACACCTACCACTAGATTTGGAGGACTTGGATTTGTAAGTGGCAATAGAATTCTAAAACCTGAAACTCTAGTTACAAAGGAAAATCTCTACAAAAACTTAATTTTTCTTTTCATTCTCATGACACAGATGTTCCAGAAAGGCTCTCCCTTGGCCAGAGATGTTTCTAAAGCTATTTTGCAGCTCTTAGAGAAGGGAGAATTGAAGAAGTTAGAAGATATATGGTTGAATCCCAAAGACGCGTGCTCCAACAGTTTGAACTCCGAAAGTACAGAAAGTTTGAAGCTGGGAAATCTATGGATTCTCTATGTGATTTCTGGTGCCACTTCTACTATTTGTTTTATAGTTTCTGCCATCCATTCTCTAAAATCTAGTCAAACACCAAGTGATGACTCAGAAGAAATTAATGGCTCCAGAAGTTATGTGAACAGATGGAAAAAGGTGGTTAAATTAACTAGTAGTAAGATTTATAGCAGAAAGCTTAATAAAGCAAACATGGTGAAGGAAGATGTTAATGATTGTCCTTCTAGTACCCCTCAGCATCAGCAGCAGGGAATGGCTCTTCAATTACCAGAAATCATAACAGTCTCTTCCCCACCATCAGAGTAACTGATCAACTAGGAAAGATAACCCCAACAATGACCTTTTGCATTCAATATTTGATTTAGGAAGGAAACTGAGAAAGAAGCCATGTATATAAATAGTATTATTATTTTTAATTTTTACCCCGCTTCTGATTCTGGGGTAACACATTCAACAAATCTGCTCATAATGAAAAAAAATGCTACAAATCAGAAATGGGCTTCATATATAAATCCACTTGTCACTAAATTACATGCATACATAACCAGGGGGCGTAAAATGTCCAGTCAACCAACTCCCGCTAGCATCAAAAGGATAGGAAAATGATCAATAACTCGCATTTTACAGAAACAAGCTTTGGAGAAAGTACAACTTAATGAAAAATGTCATCACCCTCTATATTCAAAACTTCCTCTGCCAAAGAATTTTAGTACATTAACAAGTCCTACTCGTAATCTGGTAATCTCCGTGAAATTTAATGTTATCTATATCAGAACTGCCACAGAATCACCAATACCCTCTACCTCTACCTCTTCCACTTCCTCTCCCACGACCACCCCAGCCTCGGCCCCTTGTTCCACCCCTCCCTCCACCAGATACTCTGCCTCTCCCTCCACCAGATAATATGCCTCTTCCTCCACCAGATAATCCGCCTATCGCTCTATCGACAAGTTGGTTTTGCACGCCACCAGAACCTCGGCCCTTCTTCAATGCAATATTGTTGGATCCATTGCCTGTGGTAGCAGGCCGTTTTGCTCTGCAGAAGTAAAAAGTTTTAAGTTATCACTCCACTTTTAAATATTTTTGTTGTCCAAATAAACAAGAGATCTTTAAGAAATTGAACTTCGTATTAAATTGATAATTAGAGCAATAGACAAAAAAACAGTGATACAACGTACTACTCTCAAGAGAAAGGGAATAAAATATCTTCAAAAGCAAAAGACAAAGATACAATACCCAACAGCTTGTACGGTAGTTGACGCGGATTTGGGTGCTTCTTTCCAGGAAAGGTTGATTCTCTTATCTCCAATAAAAGAAGGTGCTTTGGCGTGCAATGGCTGACCATACAAATTGAACAATTTCAATAATTAAAAGATAAGGGAGGACAAAGACAACTGAAAATCAAGCTCATATACACAATATCTCGTTGGCTTAAATTAAAAATAAAAATAAAAGACGGGTGTATCTTTCTTACCTTCGTCATCGTCAAAATATTATTGCAGGTACGCAACCCAGTTGTGGCGTTCTGTTTTTTAGTTTTCTGCAACATTGTGTAAAATGTAAGTTTTGATAAGACTCACAATTTTCTCACCCATAATAAGATAAAAAAACATGACACAACTAACAAACTAAGATAAGACTCACAATTTTTTCCTTTTCTTCATCAGTTTTAGCATTTGCCATAGATTTGTTGTTTTCAGCCATTCCTTGAGTTAATTTCTTGATTGTAGCCCGGGTGAACTCCTCAACGTTTTTCAATCTGGAAAAAGAAAATGAACCAAAAAATGTAACCTAACACCCCCAAAGTGACTAACGAATACCAAAGGGAAGATGGATAAAAAAGAGGCAACAATGACAAAAAATGAAAAGTTTATTAATAATGGAATAATTGCAACCAAATCAAGAACTTTCACCATCCCAAACTATTGTAATCTTACTAGACAAGTGGAGAGGTAACAAGTAACATTGATATTATTATGACACAGTGTGATCCAAAGGGGGAACATGGTGGTGATCATCGAAAGCAATAGGGCATCTTGTTCTAAATGTACTTAATGTCACGTGTAGGGGCACACTGGTGAATGCTACAAGTTACACAATCCTCCTCGATCCCACTGGTGAAATGTTACAAGTTGCACGGTCCTCCTCAATCCACCTGTGCAATCAAGGGACCATCCAACCAAGCAATCTGTCACACTTACTAGGACTAATTATGAAGATCAACAGAGGTATCAAGCATTGCAAAAATCATCTTCGTGTGTTGCCCCCGTTCTGTTAATTCCTTTGTCTGTGTGTCCCAATCTTCTATTGAACCATGGGTTCTTGATTATGGCCCCTCTGATCATATTTGTGGCAATTCCCTCTTTCTTTCTCGAATTAGTTACTCCAGTTCTCTACCATCTATTAACTTAGCTAATGGCTCTTATCAGAATGCTACTGCAGTAGGTAGTGCACAACCCCTACTTTCTCATATTAATCACTCCGGTTCTCTACCGTCTGTTAACTTAGCTAATGGCTCTTCTCAGAATGCTACTGCAGTAGGTAGTGCACAACTCTTACCTTTAATTTCTTTGAGCACTGTGTTACATGCTCTTCAATGTCCATTCAATCTTGTTTATGTTAGTTAGCTGACTCATACCTTAAACTGCAATGCCACATTTTCTCATAACTTTGTTTTTATTCAGGATCTCTGTACCAGACAGGTGATTGGCACAGGACATAAGTCACAGGGTCTGTACTATCTTTCATTGCCATTGATTGCGTGCACTGCTACTTCATCACCACCAGAGCTTCTTCACAACCGTTTGGGACATGTTAGCTTATTTGGATCGAGCAGTTAATTCAGTTAACTCATGAAGTTGTTTTGTGATAATCAGGACGCTCTTCATATTACTTCCAATCCCATTTTTCACAAGAGAACCAAACATACCAAACATATTGAAGTGGAATGACCTGACCTTACATTAAATAGAAACTTTTGTCTGGTTATATTTTTACTAAATCTTAGGGGTTCCCGAATTGAGTGAATTTGTAAACGTAACACGCTTGGTGCATATAATCTATATGCTCCAGCCTGAGGGGGGGAGTGTTAGAATACTTTAAATATTAGGCCCAAGCCTATTAGTTTCTTGTATATATATTTGCAATATAAGTTTGATTACACTAATATTATGCATAAATACTCTTAACCATAACTGTAAACCAGACCATACAAAGGTTACCAAATAAAGATTTGAATCATGAATCAGAAGGCCTATTTTCCGCAGCATTGTCAATCACGGATTGCAGAAAGCAGAGGCTTGATAAAATTCTGCTACGCTACAGTGCCTATAGCTGCTATTGGACAACACTATGTACTAGCCGCTGCTACGCTCAAACCTTGTTAGAAGTTCAAGTTTAAATCTATTGCAGTTTATATGTTCAATTTATTGCAGAAGTCTTAATTCAGTTATGCCCTAAGACTACAAAGAGGTTCTGAAGGTGAATATAAAAGAAGCCATTACTGTCCTTTTACCCTATGACAACATACTTTGTTAAATTTGCTTGGCTTCATAAATTAGCCTTATTTTACAGTAAACTCGGAGGTGTTGGATTCTTGACGGTGGTCCTTCATTAGTATGGTCTGAAATAGAACAAAAGTGAGGCTTCACAAAGGCTTCTGTATTGGACCTGAAACACCTGCCCCTAAACATTTTGTATCCTAAATGACATGTGCACGCACGAGCACACACGTACTACAAACAAGATTATCTAAAAAATACAAACCAAAGAGTAGATAAATTATTTACTTTATATATACCAAAAGATAGTCAATACCTCTCAGTAAAATCAGAATAATGTTCTGAAAAGTCTTCTCCAAGCCTATCAGATGGCTGACCAGTAACAATTTTGTAACCACATAAACTATTGGTGGCATTCGGAACCTATATAACAAACAAGTTCAATTATGTTGTGCATATAAGTGACTCACAAAAGCTTGGTATTTTCTTACTGCTATGACAAAGGTTTACCTTGTGAGCAAGGTGATGAAATGTGTACAACAAGCACTCAACATATGTAAAATTCATCTCTTCTCCGGTCTTCTTCCAAGTCATGTATTTCTGAAAAGAGAAAAGCACACAGTTTATAGGAAGTAAAACAAAATTGATTGATCTGAGATTTGTGCTTAAATTTGAAAGCAATCCTTCAATGATTATTAACAGCTAATTATATCACTAAATTCAACTCAATTAATTTGGAATATTTCCTTCAAGACTTTGGTTCATAACAAAAACAATTTAATACATAACTGGACTTAAATAATAAAATTTGGGTATTTGTGATCAATTGATTCAAATGATTTTGAAGGACTAAATCAATGTAAATCAAATATTTAGGGGATTGAACATTGTTCAACTCAACAATATAATGCTGCAGATGATGAGCAGGAACAGAGCCAAATTTGATGAATAAAGTATGACTTAAAATATACAAGATAAACCTGCACGCCTTAATAGCATTCGTTTAATTTTTATTAAAAAAAATGAAGCTAAAACTAAACCAGGCTATCCACATCAAAATTCCACTAAAGCTAGTTAGCAATGTTCTCTGAACATCCAGATAACAGCATAAACAAGAACAAATAAACAATAAATTGATATTGTTATAGCAGAACTGCTATATACAACACATTGATGTCTGCCAATCATGCCATTCTTTAAGAAATTTTTACCTTCAGCAACTGAACAATAGAAGGAAGCATTTGCCGTGAATCTTGTGGTGTTGTGAAAGGTGAGAACTCTGCGAGGTTTCTGAGCAAATCTACTTTTCGTTCTCCAGGAAGCTGACAGAAATTAAATCATTATACTAAGTTTTTAAACAAAAAGACCACACTTAAAGACTTCACAAATATTCCTCTGATGTATCATTTTGTAATCATCATTTCTTGGTTCAATCCCCGCTGATGCACATATCAAATTCACATATTTTGAAGTACAAAGTGTGTGTGTTGCATTCGAAACTTTTGTCTGCCATTTAATTTCATGTGCAGGTCAATGTGTTATTTTGGGAAGGAGCGCAATTCTATTTGTATGTGGATTGTGGGATACTGCAAAATGTGTGGAACTGTTGCACACAGCAATAAGGTAGTAGAAGATTAACACTAGGTTACCGAGCCTACTGGTTCTGACTTCTGACCTATTTTGGTCATTTTAATGAGATCGGATCTGAGTCAAATGCACATCTGATCGAATAAGAGGACCGAACTATCTATGGGTTTTAAAAACACTGCTTAGGGATGATGAATGAGCCCAAAGTGTAGTTCGATTATGATTTTTTGAAGGGCTGAACACTTGAACTTGGTCTTGCCAGCCACTTCTGTCATTTTGATTTATGACTTCTTGAGTTATTTTGAAGTTCAAATAGGTGGACTGATCGAATAAGTGGACCAAACCATCTATGAGTTTTAAAAACACTGCTTAGGGATGATGAATGAGCACAAAGTGTAGTCCGATTATGATTTTTTGAAGGGCTGAACACTTGATGTTCAAATAGGATATACTCCATCCGGAATGAAATAAGCAAAATTGTCATATTTTTTGTTTTTATGAAATGAAAACATAAGCAAATATTAACAACTTCTCTCCTAATGATAGTATCTCTCGTTTTTTATAATATGATGGTATTTCTAAAATACCCCCTTGTTTAATTTACCTTGTTAAATTTCTAATGACCCAATTTATTAGTCATGAAAGGTAAATTAGACAATAGATTTTATGTCTTTAATGGGATTGCATAGATTAAATGTGATCAACTATCTTTCTTAATATGTGTAATTTGATCAATTTTCGCTTTAGTTCACTCCAGAGGGAGTACCATGTTATGTTTTCTTCATATATCAATTGTTTTAATTTGGATACATATCCAATATCAATGGTTCTGGATACTTAAATGATGCCTATGATGTATCCAGGTCAAAAACATTTGTAAAAAAGTCTAATCTATTCTAACTCTGATACATTTGTGACAATTAAGGATGCAGCTTAAGAAATTTTAAATGACTTTCACTCTTTCAGTAACATAATTTGAAATGAAATTAAAAAAATAAAAAAGAACAGTTTCTGATGGAATACATGGGCAGTTGGTTTCGTAACTATCAGCATTTCAGTAAAAAGTCTGCATGACCATATACTTGTTTTATTATATAAAAGAATGTCTATGGAGTATCTTAGTTTGAATTTTTGGAATTGCAATTATATAATTATGATGTTTTATGATATGTTTATGCATGTCTATATCTATGTGTCTTAGATGTATCATATCCTAAGTTTTCTAAGAACAGTCATATTCTTGTATTGGATAAATAAAGTATCAAGTACTCAATGTATCTGTGCATCACCAGCAAAAACAGTATCTCTGCTTATTGGGTAAAGATTCAGCATGCATATGATACTTCATAGACCCCACCCCACAGTATTAGAAGCTTCATACTGCCCACTAGGCCACCCTTAATCCTCAAAAATTGTTAACCTTTATGTTTAATGGTCGAACCGCCCAAAGTTGAGCAGATATACAAATATAACAATTAAAATTTTAATCAGTTATGCATGAAGAAACCAACATTCTGTAAACCCAAACAAACAAGAAAAGTCAAATATTCAATCAAAAACCAACTATTCGAACTAAATGATCTAATTACCTGGTCAAAAACAGGAATTATATAACTGTTTATGAAGTTAATAAATTTGCTGCTAGATGCACCCCTCTGCACGAAAAAATTGAGTTAGTTGAAAAAAAATCAAACAGCAATGAATATGAGAAAAGATAAACAGTATTAACAGTTCTTACCATGACAATTGGAAGTGCCATGTGAAGACATGATATCAATCTATCAATATGATCTGTATGACCTGCATCAGCAACCTACAAATCACCAGTTAAATAAAAAGTAAGTAAGTAACATGATACCCACAATTTATTTGCACAGCTTTGACTTTTATTTTCCAGAATAGAAGTCTAAAATCATGTGAAGCCTTCACTAATATAGAACAGACTCTTTTCACATATAAAACAAAAACAAAGAAAGAAAGAAATTGAGTAATCACATTGAACGGTGAACCTAAATCAGCTTGTCCTTCAATGATTTCAATCAGCTCTTTCATCCGCTCAGCTGGAGCCTTTTCTCCAAATAGGCTCAAACTCTTCAAGAAATCCATAAACATTCGAAATTCTATACCGGTTACATCTTCTAAACTCTGAAATGAAATGCAACCACAACATACATCAATCTTAATTATGTTGCAAAAAATTAGACACTGATAAATCAACAAATGAACTTGTAAAAAACAAATCAAAGAAATTGGGAATACATTTTTTATTAGATCGGTTATGTGTCTTTCCATTTCCTCTTGCGGCTTCAACAATTCAGCTTTAATAGGGAAGACCTACATTGAAGATATTTAGAATTCAGTAATCATTTCTATATTAAAGATACAACAAAAAGGGATCATGATAATTAATAATTATAACAAAACACATGGTTTCTCACCTTATCTCTAACAAAGTTTATAACCTTTTCACGAATAACATCATCCGTATTTGGCTCTTCATCACTGCCACGAATGTGCTTAAACAAAGCTGTCAAAGAAGCTGCATTCACAATTATACTATTATAAAGAAAAACCCAAAATGCAACAGTAATTATGAATGTCCAGAATCTTGAAAATATGTTGTGACAAGTGACAAAAAAAAAGGTTTTTAGGCTATAAGCCTTAACTAGGCAGGCATCAGTTTGGCTAGTATCAGTTACAAAATTGTTGGACTTTCACAAGTTTAACTACCGCCTAAAGGCTCCTCAGCAGTCACCATATTAACAAGCTGCAGGAGATCATCTATACTGGAACAATGAAAACCATCTCAAATATATAAGTAATTTATTATATAGCAAACTATTCAATGCTAGATATATCAAGAAGGCTCAGCCCATTGCAAAACCAATATTTTCAACAAAAAACTATTTGTTAAATGAAAACGCAATGCACATTAAACAGGTGCTAGATAAGTAGGATCATTGTTAGATTGACCCTCTGTTTTATCTATTTTATTACGGATCTAAGATGGGTTGGCCAGTATATTTGCCACTGCAAGGGATAAAGTTGTAGAACGAGTAAATGACATGAACTATAATCTTAAGCAGTGGCATAGCTTGGACTAAAATTTGGGGGAGCCAGATTAAGTAAAATAAATAAATCAATTTTACTGAAATTTTATTGAAAGTTCTAAACACTTGTACTTTTTATAATTTAGTTTAACACTCATCAACAGGAAATCAATCATTATTTATCTTAAGCCAAATTTTTGCAAAGATATTTCATAAATTATGTACACACAAATATGCTAACACTATAAGCTCTTTGGTTTCATAAATATTGCATATAAATCTATACATAAAAACTAGAAGCAACGACTGTATAAATTATCAGAAGACTGAAAAGGTAGCTTCTTAGGGGGGCTTTGGCTTCGTGGAGCAAGCAGCCATGATAGGTAAATAACTTTAAAATGTTTGAGGGAGCAGTCCGGTTGTGACATTCCTAATCCTAATCCTATACAAGTACCAAGCTTTGCCTCTGATCTTAAGAAAAAGACTAAACAATCAAGAAGACTGAGACATCAATATGTAGCTAAAGTTTAAGGTGTACTGGTATAATTTTCTTACCCAACCATATAAAACACACAACTCAGAATTTATCATAATGGCTGACGACAAAATAAGAAACAATTACGGATTAAAGATCCTTAACATTATTTGAAACATAGCATTCAACAACCACAATCTTCAGCACTTGACATTAAAAAAAAATCAAATTACCTTTCACATCCTGCCTTAACAGAGACATAAGAGCCTTGTGCACAGCATCACGCTCCACAAATTCCTCTAAATGATTCAAATAAAAAAGAAAGACATCAGAATCAAGCCCTTACTCTCAAGAATACAACATCTTAAGAAATCACAACTTACCAGACCCAAGAATTTGCACAAGAATATCAACCATTTTTCCAATATTCTCAGGTGTATCCTTGCAGAAAAGAGGCAATCCTCTTATCGCTTGCACCCGCACCTGGACAGCAACAGAAAAAAATTGTAAATATACAAATAAACTACAGAGAATGCAATACAACCAATATATGCTAGAATAATTTTCCAATCCCATCCACCATGTTATGTTCATACTTATAATTACGAACTATCTGTAGATCACACATAACATACCCCAAGTTCTTCAGCCTCAACCAAATCAAGATGAGCATCAAGTGCTGGACCAGAGAGTTCAGGGAAGAACTTAAAAAACTTCGGAATGAGCTGTGCGGCGAGCTGCTTCGCCTTAACACTAGTCTTAGCTGCATCTATGATTCCCTGATAATCCTTGACGTTCTGCAAAAGAAACACGAAAATCAAACAAAAACCCTAATTGAAAAAGAAAATGTAAAACCCTAAATAAAAAGGTGAAAATGGAAAATTTATATAGAGGTGAGAAGAGAGTGACCTGAGATTTGTCTTTGGCACTATTGAGTTGCTCGCCGTATTCATAGAGCTTTTCGATGTAAGCAGCTTCTTCGGAAGGGTCAGTCATTGGAGAAGGTTCTGGAATTTAGATTGGGAAGTTGAAGACGGGAAAAAGAGAGAGAGTAGAGAGTGTTTTTTGAATTGGGGGAAGAAAGATAGAGTACCTGAAATGAAGTGAACTGAACAAGGGTTTCTCGTTTCGTTTTGTTTAATTTTTTTTTGAAGAGGTTACTTTAGAGAGAAATTGAGTTTAGTTATGTTTGTGTACTAGTAATAGTAGTAGGAGTATATGCGTGACTGAGAGGTGGGATTCAGTGATGTAAGCCTCAACTTGATTTTCGATGGGGACGAGTTTACTTATATACCAAACTGGGTATCCTCTTACCTATCTCAAACCAAAACTATCCGGATTGATATCAGCAATCTAAAATGAGTCTAACTTGAACGTCAAGATTAATTAATATCCCACACTACACTTGAAAAAGTTTTTTAAAAAAACAAAATTTACTTGCGGTTACGTCAAACACATTTTAATCTCTCATTTTTATTTTCAGTAACGTTAGAAAAATAATTATTCCTTTGTATTAATTTAGTAAAGTTATAGTCTAAATAAAATTAAATTTGATGGTACCGTTTAAGGCTGAATCAAGGGTAAACGTCAAACATATTTTAATCTCTCATTTTTATTTTCATTAACGTTAGAAAAATAATTATTCCTTCGTGTTAATTTAGTAAAGTTATAGTCTGAATAAAATTAAATTTGATGGTACCGTTTAAAGCTGAATCAAGGAATAAGAAAAAAATTTAAAAAATTTAACTTTTTCCATTTTATAAATACTTCATCTTCCTCGTCACTGTATGATTTTCATTTTTTAAAATTTCACTGCACTTTAAGTTTTTTCATAACTAATTTAATGTTCAGTGTTAACTTTGGAGATCTACATTATCTTTTGTACGAGAGCTGCAAGTGTCATCATCAACATCAAGTCTTATCCCACTCATTTTTTGTTCCATAGCGGAATAGTGGTGTCTTCTATCACAGTCGTCTCAAATTTTTGAAAGGTCTTGTGTAAGAAATTGGAGTAAGCTTGTGAAATTTTTTTAATGGCCCTTTTAATTGTAAATTAACCATGAAATATATTTATGGAGGCTCTGTTTTCCGTAGCATAATCTTGAAAAATTGTGAGGTCTTGTGTTGTAGGTCGTCTTGCACACCCTCAAAGACGGTTATGCTTCTATGGGAATCAACAGTTGATTTCTGTTAAATCTCACGATCAAACCTTCTCATTTCAGATCTCCATAGGATTCGACAATTACATTGAATGGAGGCGATTTCGGAATAAAGAAAAAGTAGACGGAATTCCTAATGCATATCTTCCCTTAGTCATCATCGTTGTCATCGCAAATCATTTTGTCTCTAAAATTCTAGTGGACAACGGAAGTTCATGTAACTTTATCTATTTAGAAACTCTTATTAAACTTGGATTAGGATCATATGACTTGAGATCTTGCAAAAATCATAGCCTACTTGCATTTAATGACTACACAACTCATCCTTGCGGATAAGTCTATTTTCCTATCACCTTAGGGGAGCAGAAGGAAAAAAAAAGGGCTCGATATGTGTTTCTTCGTGATTTTGAGTGAGATTTTGTACAACGACATCCTCGAATGTCAGTTTCTAGCCAAGCTAGATGCGGTCGTATCTCCCATGCATTTGAAGTTGAACTACCATGACGAATCTCGCAGAACTGTCGTGGTTAAAGCAGGCCTCTTGGGAGATCGACGGGTGCTTGAAGCAAGCAAGAAGAGGTCTACTGCAGCCTCCGTCGTCCAGGTGAAAGACCTCAAGAAAAGTAATTTGAAAGCGTAGCCACATCGATGTGTGTGATGAAAAACCTCCTATGTACGGGGAATTGAACTGACCACCGAAGCCAACACAAAAAACCTAAAACCAACCCCGGTTGGCGACTTCGAGTTTATCCAGCTGGATGACAATCTTTTGAGAACCGTGAAGATAGGGTTTGACTTACCCGTGTAGTCAGAGAATGGTTATTAACTATTTAAAAGCTAATGTTGACCTTTTTGCCATTTCTCCCCTTCCCGGGATAGATCCCAAAGTAGCATGTCACCAATTAAACGTGAATCCTTATGCTTGGTATGTGTCACATAGACGACGACAGTCGCTTGAGAAAGCATAAAAAATTGCAAAAATGGTATGAGGGTTGCTAGACGCTATTTTCATTTCATAACTCAAATATATTGAATGGTTGTCTAATGTAGTACTAGTAAAAAAAGTTATGGGAAACGGAGAATGTGTGTGGATTATAATGATGTAAACAAGGCATGTCATGAAGATTCATACCCATTCCCCAACATAGACAAGTTGGTAGATTGTTCTGCAAGATACCAGCTTCTCTCCTTCATGGACGCATACGTTGGCTATAACCAAATTTTAATGTATGAGTCGGACAGAGAAAAAATTGCCTTCATAAGCGAACAGGTAAACTAGCAATACAACGTCATGCCCTTCAGACTGAAAAACATCAGAGCCACATACCAGAGGATGATGAATAAAGTCTGTAAGGAAGAGATAGGAGAAAAATTTGAAGTGTATGTGGATGACATGATTGTTAAGTGAAGTGAAGAAGAACTACACGACTAATATCTCGCATATGTCTTCTAGAGGGTCCATCAATATAATATGAGTTCAAATCTTGATAAGCGCACATTTGGGGTGAGAGCCGGAAAGTTCCTAGGTTTCTACCTCATTGAGAAGAGAATAGAAGCAAGCTCGGAAAAGTGTGATGCGGTAATGTAGATGAGTGCACCCACGTCCAAGAAAGAAGTAATGAAATTGAACATAATGCTTACAGCCATAAACATATTCATTTTGAAATCAACACAACACACTCTTCCATTCTACAAACTATTAAAGAAATAAACTCAATTCAAATGGATGCTAGAATGCCAACAAGCATTCATGTCCTTGAAAGTAGTCATATCCACCCTGCTAGTCTTAACTAGATCTCTGCTAGGAGAATCCCTATTCATTTACTTGGTTGTCTCTGAAGAAGCGGTCAGTGCCATCCTCGTCAGAGAATTGGACGGTTAGCAACAATCGATATACTTCATCTTGAAAGCCCTGATCGGACCAAAAACACGGTATCAGAGGATATAAAGTGCGGCTATGGCTCTTGTAACTAAATCAAGAAAGGTACATTATTACTGTTATCTCACACCATATTAGTAAGAACGAACCTCGTGTTTAAGCAAATCCTCCATCGACCCGACCTAGCAAGAAGACTGACTGAGATGTCTAAATTTAAAGTTGCATATGAGGCCATAAAGCTATTGAAAGTAAGGGTGTTCAAAACCGAACCAACCCAATAAAAAATTGCAAAACAAACCAAATCAAATTGAAACAGCAAAAAAACTGCATTTGGTTCGGATGTATTTTGGCCATTTTTTTACAAAATTGTGCGGTTTGGTTTGGTTTGCAGTTTGTATATTGCAAACCAAACTAAACCAAACCAAATCGCATTATGTTACAACCTAAACTTCACTTATCTCACATCCAACCAAAAACTCAAACCTATTATGCCTTAATTTTACAAATATTCTCTTGCTCGCACTTAAGGTTTTAGTTTAAACCTTCTCAAATCTCTCATAGAAGTATTACACATTCTTCTCGTCTTCTTTGCCATGTATATCTCACATCCTCTACTATAATCTCTCCTCCCTTGTGTTCTTTATTTTTCTTCGACTCACTTTATATTATTGTTTTCTCTTCCAATTACGTTTTTACCACACCTTTCTTCTCTAATCTCGCATATCTTATATTCTTTCTTTTTCATCTTCTATAATCTCTCATCTCCTCCTTTTTTTTGTTATTATAATATTTTTTGTTAGTTCCATGGTTCTATAGAATTGTCCATGGTTCTATGATTGGCTAAATTATGGTAAAACAAGATTCTGCACAAATGTTAAGCAGGATGTCATTACCATAGTTATGACATCGCTAAAGGAGCAAGCAGGAGCTGGTGAAAGAACTGTTGTGGAGTGTTTTAATGTGAATGTCATGCTGAATGTCGTGACATCCATCAAGACATCTATCTGTTGTCATGACAGAAATTCATTACTGTCATGTGTGAGAAACAACAGGAGCTAGCAGAGGCTGACATCAAGGTCGAGTGCAGCAAGAGCAAGCAGGAGCTAGCAGAGGCTGAAGAAAGGACAACTGTCATGGATGTCATTACCAAAGTAATGACATAGCTGTCTGGCACAACAGGCACTGCTATGGCTTAGCAGTAGCCTAGTTCCTCACAGGCAGTATGAGGTGTGCAGCCACAACATGTTAAGTTGTGATGAAGTTCCTCACAGGTAGTGAGTGAGGTGTGCAGCCACAACTGTTGGAGTTGTGATGAAGCTCCTCACAGGCAGTGTGAGGTTTACATCCACAACAGTGTGAGTTGTGGTGAGTGAGGTGTGTTGTCATGTGTTTTAAGCAAGACATAGTTGCAAGACATAGTTGCATGACAACAGAAGGAGCTGCTAGTGTATATCTCTTGACAGAATTGGTTTAGATTGATGAGACCATGTTAAAAATACCTCATCAGTAAATATGTCAAGGAGATTTATTAGGAACAAGAACAGATTGTATTGGTATTCATAAAAGGATCTTGGAGAACTTTTAGAAAACTTTAATATACTTGTTTCTAATGTTATTCTGCAGAAGGTTGGGTGAAGCCAGGTCTGGTATAAAGAAAAATCTGCATAAGAGTGGATGTCATATTGAATGTTATGACATTGGTTGGATGACATCAGTTGTGCAGGCATGTTGGTTTTATGTTATCTCAGGCTAGATTTCAGGAAGACTTGTTATGACCCCTGAGTTATATCAGGAGAGATTCAAGGCAATGCTGACCATGCCATGACCTAATTGGACAACACCTTGAATTGTGGAAATTAGTTTTATTTTGTTAAAACTAATATTTGTTACTTCTGCACAGCCCAAGCCTAGTCTGCACAACTATAAAAGGAGGAGCAGAAGCAGAAGAAAAGCAAGCA